GGAGAGGATTAGAACAGAGAGGCTTTAATATTACGCAGTTGGAAAGGAAGACTAAAGAACTGTACAGCATATAAAGAGAGCAGAGAGAAGGGAGCTGGAGGAAAGGGAAAAAAGAACTTAAAAATAAAAAAAGAAAATGGATGACAAGTATGTGTATTCCATGCAGTCCAGTGAAGGAATGAGTACCCAGACTGCAAATAAGATGGAGTTCTCCTTCATTGTTCTTCTGTATTACTAGATGCCCAGAAATTGACAGCACAGACACGGAAGTCATGCTGATGTGAAATGAAGTTAGAAACAATTGGATAGACCAATCACTATGTTTAAAAGTCTCAAAGAATTGTTTATATCAGTTTTCCAATCTATTTTTTCCTACTGCTTATAATGGGGTTATTCAGTGAATATGAAGGTATTAAATCCCACATCTCAAAATATTTTATGTAAGAGTATGATTCCTGTACTATAACTTACTTCTAGGTGGTTTTCAGAGTAGTTTCTATCACCACAATGCAGCTTTGCTCCATTTTCAAGCAGTGCTGTCTCCAGTAGTTGTTCCCCAGTCCTGGATTCTTATTCAACTAACCAAATTTAAAAATAAAAATATAAACCTGTCTGTCCATGGAGAAGTATTCCAGGCCTTTCATTGTCTGCTGTTTCTCTGCTGAATAAAGTATTCACAATCTTAAGTGTCCTGCTTGATATTAGAATATTGGCTTCATGCATTTGACAAATCATTGAGTGAAAAAAGATTAGATTGTTTGATCTTGGTCATTTTTGGATTTTGGATCTTGAGAGGAGGCAAGGAGGGTCTATTACATTAAAGGTTCTGGATACAGAAGCCTTTTTTTTTATCCCCAGATAAGGTATGGCAGAGGCAGTCGCAGCGTTAGCTGTCCCCACACTGCCCCATTAATATTCCTTGCCCCAGACCTGGAGATACATCTACTTGGGTGAGATCATGATTTAGCCTCTATGTACATTCAGTACTTGGGGTGAAATCCTGGCTCCCTGGAAGTCGATGTGAGTTTTGCCATTGACTTTAGAGAGGCCAGGATTTCACCCTTCGTCTGTTTGCTCAGACTATATCAACAAGGGTATGTGATGGTATTTTTCTGTTATGCTGAGAGCACCACCTCATTTGACATAGGCCACCAAACAGCCATCAGCTGGTAATTACTTTTGTTCACACTGACATGGTTACATTCATATAAATCATCTAGAGGTGAAAGGCTCTATATCTTCTCACCCACCCAGTCCCTCAAGGGTGGCGTGTTTGGAATGGAAGAGGGTATAGATAAGAAAACCGTGAGTGTCTGAACTCTGGAGAGGTTTTATTGGTTGATTGGGAGACAAAGTCTGAAATTATAAATATTTAGCCTTATTTAAAAATGAAACCAACTATGGAGGAATAAATTTTGGTAACCTACTAAAACAAAAAAAGTGTGAGAGGCAGTTTTGGGAGCTTTGAATGCAACAAAAAGCTCTGCTCATATAGTTGTCAGTGTAACACTTGACAAACTGGAGCAAGAACTCCAGAGTATAACTGAAACAATGCTACTTCACTGAATAGATTGGCCCAACCACAACCCATCTCAGCACCCATGGCAACTCCATGATAAAAACTCAATCCAATTAAAGAGCATTCATTTTAATATGTATTCAGCTAGTCAGATCGGAGTTTTGAGTGGATGGTTGCTATTGTGAGTGTGAGTTTGATTTAAAAAATAAAATACACCAGTTATTGAGTGAGCATGTTTTGTATGGAGGTGTGATACCCATGATGAAAATGCACTGATATTCTTCTATGTGCTGCAGTACAGGACATAGAAGAATATCAGTGCATTTTCATCATGGGTATCACACCTCCATACAGAACATGCTCAATGTGTTGCATATCTGGCATGAAGTAAGAGAGGATAGCTTCAACAATTAGGCCTTGTCTGCATTAAAAAAGAAAAAGATGGACATTACAACAATATGACAAGAAATTGACTGTGGTTTCAAAGCACCAATTTCTGATCTCAGCCACACTAGTGTAAATCTGGAGTAGCTCTAATGAGTTCATAATTTGACAATAAAGTCTCTTAATCTGCTCAGGCAAAAGATAAAAGAATGCTTAAATTGTATAATGATGTCTATGTATTAGTACTTTTGCTAAGTCACAAATTCTTGGTCTTGTATAAGTATCTTTCCCTAATACTTTTTAAAAAATGTTAACCAGGGGTCATCAACAGTGAAACTGAGAGAATAATTTGTAGTGAATAATATAGTTAATTACTTCAAACATTTTTATTAATGAATTGCCCAAAAGCAGCTTGAGGTTATCTTGAATGTTTTTGTAATTCAGAATTACTCACCATACAATTTTTCCAAATAATTCTTGCTCTGTAAACCGTTCTTGAACTGCTTGTATTCAGAGTATTCAGCATCTGAAATCTGTGTTGTGTTGGTTTGTTTTAATAAGGCATGTATGTTACCAGAGAAACATAACTTAGAATCAGGTTTCCAATGTGATTTTATCCTTATGAGTTCAAAATTTGCGTTTCATGAAAATTCACTAACATTTAATTAAAATATACTATTTCTACTAACATCCAAGCCAGTATATTCAATGCCCTGCAATAGTCTCAGAAAATGAACACCAAAGGGGCATGGCCACTTCTGAAGTTAATCTCATTATTTTTATGTACGCAAATAGTCCCCGAAAAAAATTGAGGTGTTTATCCTGTTCTAATCAACGCCTGGAAGAATTTAAAATTATAAAAGTTACAAAGAGCCTGCTTAGTAAAATAGCAAATGCTATGGCTGAATAAATGTATCAGCTGTCCTATTTTCCTGCTAGAGGATATGAATAACTCCTCTTGATCTCAGTGGGAGTTACTTATATTCTCTGGTGGGAGAATAGGGTCCTAGACCTCAAAAAGGAAATATAATCACTCTCTTTCACTCCCAGAATCCTGCCATCCTCAGACTAACAAATACTCTCTACTCCCTCCATGTTTTTCCGTCTGGTGAGCTGTTTACCTCCAAACATTTTAGATACTGTAGAAGCTTTTGGATCATTCCTATTGTGGGACTCTTTCTGCAAGCACTTCCAAAAAAAGATATAATTTCACAGAAGTATGTTAGCACTGATTTATGCAGTTATGCACAAGAGGCCCGGCTCATCCTGTCAATCGCAATCAAGCAACTCCCAGTGAGGTCAATGGGAGTTGCACTAGTGCAGATACCAGGGTGATTGGGCCACAGGATCCTTATTCACTCCCCTTCCCCCCAGGTACAAGTAAGTCCCACTGATTTCTATGAGAGTTACTTATATCCTGTGGCAGGAAATTAGGGCCCCAATGATACAGTAGAAAACTGATGGTGATAGTTTCCATGAGTTGCATGACAGAAACAACCTGTACTGAGTGTCTGTAATGATTTTCAAATGCAAATCTTGTAAATGAGGTCAGGTGTACACATTAAAGTTGTATTTTAACTTACACATGCTTTCCCATAGCAGCCTTTGACTCTAATAGATGCTGAATTTGCAACAATACAGAGGTAGTCTTTAAATTATAATTTATTTTCAGCAATTTCTCCAATTTCTGGACAGAAAAGTTTTCATTCAGAAAATATTTTGAATGTTTCCTTTTTTCGTTTTTTTCTTCAGACTTTTTTATTGTTTTTTGTTTGTTGGTGATCAGTAAAAAGACAATCCCCTTCTTCAATTTTTTTTTCTTTTTTTTTTTTTTTTTTTTTTTTTTTTAATTGCAATGCATGTCTTATACAACATTTCATGGTAGTTCAGGATCCTGCACCTCCATTATCTGAAACTCCTGTTAAGAACTTCTGAACTACTTTGGCTTTTGAGAACTGAAACAGACTTTTGTTATGTGCAGGCCTTTTATTTTATCCCTTGAGAGAGTGATGCAGCACTACAAGAAAAAGAGGTGACAACTTTTGAGGAAAAGAAGAATCAGAATGAATAATTTCTTACGTCTGTTTTCACCTTTCCTATGAAAGCCTCCAGTGAAACAAATTGTGTGTATGTAGCTCCCATTGCAATAGGTTGGATGAATGGGTGCTCAAAACTTCTGAAAATCAGTTTGCTTTTATTTAGATGTCTAAGTATGTATTTAGCAGTCTGTCTTTTAACACACGAGTTTGAAAATGTTGGCCATCATGCATCACTTTGAGACTAGATCTTTCTATCTCTGATCAGCTGTTGTGTTTGTGTCCGAACTGCATTGTCTGTCCAGTTTAAGCTGTAAGTGGCTGGCAGAATAGTCTGGACCATATCTTGTTCAAACAAAGTAGTGGCACTCAATAAATAACAATGCCCAGTTTACATAAAAAGCATATCTATATCTTTTATAATGTCACATAAATGAAAGTCCTTGTGCCTATATTTGAAATACAGTCAAGTACAGAAAACAATTAACCAAGCCCCACTCATCTGCCATTATGTGGGTATGTATTTTAAACACTTTGTTTTTTACTGGATTCCTTATAAGCATTACTTGTCATTCGGCATCTAAAATTCATATTAGAAAAATGATGCATTCATGTAAAAATAAAAAATCAGACCCCAAATATAGCTTCAGTGGTGTGCAATTGACAGTTTTCCAAATAACAGTGGGTCTGTCCATGTCCTTATGCCTTTTAATATCAGGTCTATGACTTTTTTTCAAGGCCTATGATCTTTCCTGATACTTACTAACATACTGATGTTTTTTGGCAGAAACTTTGTCTCCTTTCCCACATGCAGTGGCCTAAAGTATTCTAGCTTCCCTTGATGATCTTTTCTCTAGCTCATACATGTCCAAAAGAGCTTCATTCAGGGACCACTGAAATCTATGGAAGTCTTTCTATAGACTTTCTTTGGATCAAGCCCTAACTACTGTACTATACCAGTTTGAGATGTTTTTTTCAGACTCCCCTCTCCGGTATTTTTTCACTATGGAGGCCAGTCCTAGTCACACAAATTTGTAATCACTACTGATAACTAAACAAAATAATTAATTATCCATTTATTTATTTGTACCTGGAAATACAGAACATTGTTTTAGTTACTGAAAAACAGACCCCATTCTCCTGCATCTATGAGGAAAATTTACAGATTTATTTAAAGACATATAGCTTGTGAGACATATTTTTTTAAAAAGGGTGTAGATATACATTAGACATAGCTATTAGCATATCACACAGTAAAATTCTGTTTTGATGATCAATTTGAGTAACTTCCATTTTGATCATTATACTCAAACAACCACTCTATCCAGATCCATAAAACAGTGACTTATCTACACCGGAAACATCAGAGGATCGGTATCTCTCTGATGTCTGAACTAAGTAAATTCTGCCAGAGGTTGTAGTACTATGGTAGTTCAGTCAAGCTATAATTAGCTCCAAGTGGCTCCAACTCCAACTGGCACGTCCCAAACCTCAAGTCTTTGCTTACAGCTTAGTGCCATCTGAACTTCTCCTTGAGGGGTACTCTGTTATAAGCAAAATATTGAAGAAAACGAATAAATAATTTCTAAGCTGATCCTTAGAACCAAATCCACAGCGATCACGGTAAGGGAGGAAGCAACACATCAGTGCTAATAGCAAAAAGGCTTTTGGAAAGTCAGACTTGCTCCATGATCACTGCAAGGATTACTCTGAATTCCACCGCACGGTGTGTATAAAGCAGACTATATATTACATACAGTCATATCTTCTGCAAGATTCCATCCAGTGAGCAGAATTTCGGCACGTGAGCTTCTGTGTAATAGCATCAAGTGTAACAGGAGAGGGGGGAGGTAAACTAGAACTTCCTGAATTAAGCTGAGCAAGGGAGGAAAATAAGTGAAGGGGACATACATATTTTTTAAGCTTTCTTCCACGTGACGTGAGTGGTTCCCCTTCCCTCCCAAACACTGTAAAGACGTTTTCTCTGGCAATAAACAAAGAAGGACAGAGCCTGGTTTGTAGCACACTGCCTAGAGGCAGTTTACGTTCAGCTGGCAAGGTTGCTGATCTCTTATTTTTAGTCGCAGGCAGCAGTCTGTGATTGCTGCTGAACTTGGAGGACCCAGGCCTCCACTTTCCTAGTGGGGTGCTGTACTGAGGAGCAATGCAAAAGAGAAACTAGATCTGCGGGACCCCCAGACCAGTTTGGCTTCTGCCTCTGAGATCTTATTGCTACATTAGAACAGTCATTCCGTTAGCAGAGAGGGGAGACCACCACTCGGCCATCAGCGTCCAGTGGCCCCCTCCTTCTTACATTCGGAATAACTTTGGGAAAGATCGAAAACTTTCCCCTGTGAGATTCTTTTGCGGATCAAAACTGTCTTCCTTTTATTTATTTTTTAATGAGCCATTTCGACGTACACAATCACAAGCTCTGTCGAGTTACTCTGGAAAAACAAACAAACTTGTTTACCTGATTTAAAGTTTATAAAGCATTACATTTTACCTTCACAATGCTGCTGGAATGGATGAATCAAGTGTGGCCTCGCTGCCCATATGCCATTCAGCTTCTGTCTGTCTTTTTGTTTACACTGGGAATACAATAGAAACTATAGTCCTTCCAATGCATCATTTATAAGTGTATTCTACCTCTGAATGTACAGACAGAACTGGCTCTGTGAATGAGGTCTGTGAATATTGCCAAGACACTGTGCTTTGTTCAGCATTATTCTTCACAATAGATACCACACTTTGGAAGTAATTTTAAAAAGGGAATCAAAATAGTGGTACTTTTAGCCTTTGTTTCTTTTATACCACACTGCATTCTCTGTCTCTCATTCAGCGGCTTCTATTATACTGACAAATTAAATAAACCACTCCATTGCTACAGAGGCTTCCGCAGCCTGGGCTTCAGTACAGGGCGGCCCTGGGAAGTTGAAATAAACATTTGTGCGGTTTTTTATTCTTAGCCATTTTAAGCTAACTTGAGTCAAACATCTTTTTTTAAAAAATTGAGAGAGAGAGAGAGAGAGAGAGAGAGAGAGGGAGTGCTTCCAAATTTTTAGCTGATCTGCAGCACCAAGAGATCTGGCACCTGGAGGTGACGGGGGAAAGCCATGTGTCCAGGTAGTGAGCCTGAAGCACTGCAAGTTCCTTCCCGCGGTGAGGCCTCTGGGAGCGTGAATCGGTGAGTTCCATTCAGAATGATCTGGTGCAAACAGGAGCGGATCAGCGGCGTGGCTACAGACTTGCGCAACCTGCAAAACTAAGCAGCAAAAGTTTCGGGTGGGTCCTCCGGCCGCGCGCTGGTGTGTGTCTTTGTATTTTATACGGCGTATTAGCCACAAGCTCGTTCTCTAAAGGAGTGCGGCGTATGGACAAGGGGTGCGGGATCGGGGCAGGTCTTTCTTCCAAAAAAATAGTTATTGATTGGGATCTCGTTAACCCACACAGATATTCGCATTGCAGGGCGGGCGGAGGGAGAGCGGCGAGCTCAGAGAAAAATAAACCCAGGGCTGTAATGTGACCCTTAACTTTACCATGATGCTTTTCTGGCTCTGACTGTGGGACAGCACCCTTGCTTTTAGCAGGCAAAACAACACAAAATACAAACAAACCCAAAGCCCCTGAGGGCATCTTGTGATAGCCACAGGAACAATGTGCTTGCAAACAATTACCTGGGGGGATGGGGCTCGTTGGTATGATGATGGGGTGTGTGTGTGTATTAGTATTCTGAGAAAAAAGAAGAGGAGGACTTGTGGCACCTTAGAGACTAACCAATTTGTTTGAGCATGAGCTTTCGGGAGTTACAGCTCACTTCATCGGTTGCTGAACCCTAGTATCCTGAGAAGGATCATCCATGGACGACTTCGTCCTTTCACCGAGCCAGTCCTGCCCAGCACCCGCCCGGGTTAGCTTTGCAAAGCTCTGCCAAACGCGCCTGGAGTCGGAGCGTGTAAATAATGTAGGCTGTGTCTCTCCCCCGTGCCTTTCCCCTCCCGTCCTTAACAAAGCGAATAGCTGATGGGTAGAGGCGTCGGCGCGTCGTGGTGATTTTAAGGGGCCTTAGAAGCCGTCAGATTCCTTCTGAAACCCGAACTCCAGTAAATGCCAGTTCCGGGAGCGGGGCTTTGAAGGCTTCAGCCACCAGCTACCGTGACCTCATTTGGGATGCGAGGCGGCGAAGGCAGAGCCTGGGGGCCGCTGTCTTCCAGCAGCGCCGGCCCGGGGCTTCTAAGTCACCGCGCGCCGCAGGCGAAGGGGAGTATTGAGCCAACGCGGTTTGAACAGAGCGCCGAGGGTTCATCTTTTATTACTTAAAGAAAGGCTTTAAAAAAAATTAAATACAGCTCAGGTGAAATTTCCTTCTATTGTCTCGGAAAATTCTCTGTAATTTGCCCCAAGGGAAATCCCACTGCCTTGTGAAAAAAACCCTCCCTCTCGCTCCAAACGTAAATGTCTGTGGGGCCCCTGGAGCAGAGAGCTGGGCAGGGTGGGGGGGAAGCTGAAGGTCAGGGTTACCCACTGTGGCATGACTTTTAAGCTAAAGAGGTTTTTATTTCTCTTGTTGCCATGTCAGGTCTAATTTGGACTGCATTATGCGAAAGGGGTGGGCCTGCTCATGACAGGAGGGGGTTAAATGAGATTACAAGCTTCAGAGGTTGTCAGCAGCTACTGCTGCCTGGGGATGTTAAATTGCGATTTAATGGTCAGCTTTATCAGTGGAGATCTGCTGTTTTCAGCAACTTAATTGGCGCTGGGTTTCCAGGAGTGGATTTGGAGTTCGGTGGGCCAGCTGACCGGCTTTCCCTACCGAACCGGGTGCCAGACGGGGGCAATGGGCGCGGCTCGGGCCTTTGCCCTTTGCTCGGGCAATCTGCTGCTTAAAACAAATGTCAACTTGCCAGACCTGATTCCGGCAGCTCTGAGTTCAGTCAGAGGGAGGGGACCACTTTTGCTCCCGGAACATGTGCCCAGTGAGGAGGGGGCCACGCCAAGCACACTTTGCACGTGTGTGTGAGGGAGAGCGGCCATGCGCACACCCAGAGAGGCCGGGGAAGGGCTTGGCAGGCATTGTCTGTTCACGAGTTTAGGGGTCAGTCCGGAAAGTTCAGGATTAGTACATTTAATATCCCATCAAAAGTCTCAGGATAATGGAGCCCGGCTGGCCGAGTTGGCAGAGCAGCCTCGGCGCTGCAGCTTGCGAGATAGCGCTCCTCGTTTGTGAGCAAGAAATTGTTTTGTGCTGACATGAGCAGGGCTGGTCAGACGAGAGAGGCTCGCTGGTGGGGGGCTTTTTTGTTTTTTTGGTTTTTTTGGCTCTGCAATGACCACTGCACTGGGGGAAAATACGCAGACCTGGATCGTTTTAAGTGACTCTTATTCATTCCAAAATCTTCCTGGCTGAAATGACATGTGCTGTTTGTTTTTCCTCTCCCTGCGTTGTAGGTATGGGCTGCCTCTGGGAGTCACTCAGGAATTCTGCCACTGAAAATAAGAAAGACAGAATCTTGTGTGTATATAGAATAATGTGTGTATACACACACACACACAGAGAGAGAGAGAGATAATTTCCCAAGCATGACTTTTTAATGTACAGAGTTGTCAAATTTAAAGCACAGATCCTAGAGGAGGGAAATTAATCATAAAGCAAATAAATAAGGTTGTAATAAACTACAAATTGCAGCCCTGATTGAGTAGTTTTTGAGCTGCTGGGGGAATTTTAAAATATACTGTTTCTAACCAAGTAACAACAACAACCAAAAAAAGGAAAGGGGGAAAAAAAGTTCCTGTGTACTTTGTTCAAGATTCTGCACCTCTCTAAGCAGCTGTCACATCCCTACATTATGGTACATTGAATCTGAATGAGGCTCTCCACATCAAAACCTTGCATCCATTATGATATCATCTCCTGCTCTAAGCTGTAATGCTTATTAATTCTGCACCCATACTCTCCAAGCTTCAGCAAATGTATTCCATCAGCCTAGCATTTAATTTAATTAGTACAGCTGGGCTCTCATTCTCCTTTCTGTGTCAGAGGTATTGTCAGCACGTTCTGCTATAACACAATTACTGATTGCTTTTAGATAGGCAGAAATATGATTAGGGTATTGGGTGACTGTATCATAAGCCTTATTAGATTCATTTGAAATCTGGAGATAAATAGGAAACTTTTATTTGCAGTGTAATGAGATTATGCTTATTAGGCCAAGGCCTCGCAACCTTTTGCAAAGAACATAGTGTATCGCTAGGATTATACTCTGGAACCACACTTTTTGCTCATAGCATCCAAGCAATTTCTTAGTGGCTTTGAGATTTAACTGTTGTAGCACTGTACACATTTGAGGATTGTTTTCAATCTCAGTGGCTTTCCTGGGTGGTGGATAATATGTAACTTTCTTGGTGTGTTTTCTTCTGGTTTAATCGGGGATCTTGACAGAGTCTTTTGTTCAGCCGATAAAACAAGTAGATGAAAAAGGTTTGGGTAGGTTGGGGCATCGTGTGAGTGAGCAGACAGACACCCTGGACAGAAAAGGGTTTTGTTTAAAAAAAAATGAAACTCCATTTTTCTAAAAAGAAATACGCATGCATTTTGTAGCCGTTTTCCAAGGCTAAAAAAATAAATTCATATTTAAATTCTCTGAGGTCTATCTAATCTATAATGAAAGGGTGCTCATGAAATATGTAATGAGTTTCCTTGTGTAAAAGATCTGGACCTGCTATGCAGTTTCATATAAGGATCAAAAACCAGAGTGCAGTTAAGTCATATTTATGTCACACCATTTTGTTTTATGTATTATTCTGACAACACATACAGTGTACTGGAAGCAAGGGTTTTGTGACTAGAGTTCATTTATCATGAGGATTCAGAATTATTATCTGGTAGTTTAACCGTCACTATCACTGGTCATTGACTTAACAGGTAATGAGGGACCCACCAGTTTTAACATTAGCGTAGACTTTCGATCTGATCTTGCTCCCATTTAAGCTTTGCAACTGACTTCAGTGGGAGCAGGATTGAGTCCTTTTCACTCATGACAATTGCTGGGAAAGCCCTGGGTATTGACATTTGTGCTGCTCTCAGATCTGAGTGTAACAAAGACGTGGGTCTTAGCTTTAGATTCTTTGTGGCGTCATTTTATCAGAGGCCAAGATCATCACACTATGTCTGTAAAAAGAAAAGGAGGACTTGTGGCACCTTAGAGACTAACCAATTTATTTGAGCATAAGCTTTCGTGAGCTACAGCTCACTTCATCGGATGCATACTGTGGAAAGTGTAGAAGATCTTTTTATACACACAAAGCATGAAAAAATATCTCCCTCCACCCCACTCTTTATTACCAGCAGGAGAGTGGGGTGGAGGGAGGTATTTTTTCATGCTTTGTGTGTATAAAAAGATCTTCTACACTTTCCACAGTATGCATCCGATGAAGTGAGCTGTAGCTCACGAAAGCTTATGCTCAAATAAATTGGTTAGTCTCTAAGGTGCCACAAGTCCTCCTTTTCTTTTTGCGAATACAGATTAACACGGCTGTTACTCTGAAACCTGACACTATGTCTGTGTTACTAGTTTTGGCTAAAGGATTGCTCAATGGGGAGTAACATGGTGTATCAGTATTTCCATGGCTTTTTACTGTTCAGTTGGCAGGCACTGAGGTGAAGCAGGCATTGGCTTTGTTACCACTGCCAAATTGTGATGAGTTCTAAGGTAACTTTTAGAAAACATGAAATAGCCGTGGGTGGGGGACGGACCTTGCGGCAATTCAGAAAATATCAGACAGAAATTTTAAATATGACATTTGTATGGGTACATTTTTGTTTTAGTTAATGAGAAAGAGTTCCAGGAGCTACAGTGTTGCTTGGTCCAACTGGAGGCCTTCAGGGGAAAATGAATTGAGTTAAGGGATAGCCCAGTGGTGGGTGATGGGATAGGTCAGTGGTTTGAGAGTTGGCCTGCTAAACCCAGGGTTGTGAGTTCAATCCTTGAGGAGGCCATTTAGGGAACTGGGCCAAAAATTGGGGATTGGTCCTGCTTTGAGCAAAGGGTTGGACTAGATGACCTTCTGAGATCCCTTCCAACCCCAATATGCTATGTTGCTCAGTTGCAGCTTGGCATGGTTTTGTGTGATTCCTTAAGTGATGAGCAGGTGACAGCTGCTGACCAGTCTCAGGACCTACCCTTGTGTGTATGCACGCATGTAACAACTATAATAAATGCATCCCACTTCTATAGTAGCTCTCAAAGCGCTTTGCAAAGGTGGGGTTCATTCTCTCTGTTTTACAGATGGGAAAACTGAGGCACAGAAAAGTGAGTTGGCCAAGGTCACACAGCAAGTCAATGGCAGAGGCAAACACCGGTCTGGTGTCCTGTCCATTTTACTGAAAAGTCAAACACTGAAGATAAAATACCAATACGATACATAAGGTATAGAGAAATATATTATTATTTATATAACACCATAGGTGTGCATGTCACTCGACAAAAAAACAGCACTCTAGAAAAACAGGTGATTTCACAGATAATTTTAAGATGAAAAATACACAAGCGTTTGAGACACGATAGTCTTTAGCATCTTTCTACCTACCAAATGAGACGAACAGAAGAGACAGGAGCCCGCTATTACTCTGAATTGGGGCTTTTTCTTGTAGAAGGAAGGGGAAGTGACACATGCTACAGTTTTTCACTATTTTATTTATTAATAGAAGTATTTTAAAATTCACTGTAATTGCCTATATGTGAAAATGATCTGGTGGCCTCATTTCATTTCCTAGTGATCCACATTAAGGCAGAGGGGCTACCCATAAGCTTAAGTTTACATCAGTGCTTCAGTGCCTTGCTGGATCAAGGCTGAATTGACATGCTCAGTAAAGAGAAGCTGAACTATGATGTATCATTTTTATTCCCAGAGGCGGTTTGTCCAGATTCTGTTTGAGATGAGTTATCAAGCTGCTGCTTGTGGGTTATTTCCTCTATGCATAGGCAGAGGACTTGAGTCTCTGGGCCAAAAATAAATGAATTGTTACATATGAGTGCTAAATTACAACAAACAATTTTATCTTTGGCCTGTTCTAAAAGAGCAGGTTTGTAAAAAGGAATACTAATAGCCAGTTATCCTAAAATTGGTTGATTAAACGAAAGTGTAACTAATTGTTATATGTTTGTTTCATGTAGACTCAAAGGTAGAATCACAACAGAAGTAATTAGAGTAATTATTAAGGTCTGTATTTAATTCAAAACCCCCAGGGAATATTGCATTTTCATTCATGTGAGCTACACTTCCTATTAAAAGATAGACTATTTCTTAAAGCTTCCATTACAGGTATGTTTGCGGTCGTGTCATCTCA